ATTTGAAGACTCACAGTCAGCAGCAAGACGTGCAGCCCAAGACTGGCTTGGGTCCCATCATTGCTCCTGGCTACCAAGGACAGAGGGAGAGCAGCCGGGAGAAGGCCAGAGCTGTCCCACAAGGACTTGGGTGTCTCAGGCAGAGAGTGCTGCTGCCTCCCTGAGACACTGACTGTCTTGGAGAGATCTGAGGCCCAGGGTTTCAGCTCAGATGGCCTGTAGTGTAGTAGTTTGGCTTTCCCTGATGAAATGGTGTCTGAGCTAAATCATTTAGTACTTTGCCTTAGGCCTCATGTCCTATTGCCACAAGTGTGTTTAAAGGATCCCCTTCTGCTTTCCAGCTATCACATAAGGCAGCAGACGCACACATCTGTTGTGTATACACATCCAGATTTATTTTCAGGTTTCCTTTTGCTCAAGGTTCTTCAACTTGAGTCGTGGTCCATGTGAGTCATCCATGTTACATTCAGCTCATCACCCTGAGGGCCAAATAAGAGATGGCACCTGACATACAGAAGAAAGTAAACTATGAACAAAGAAGTCACCACACTGGAAAGAAGCACTTGAAACCAAAGGGTTGAATTATGTCCCTGTGGGCTGATGTTCTAAATAGATTCACAGAAAAGAAAAAAAAAAAAAAACCAACAAAAAAAATAAAACAAACAAAACACCTTTTCCTACCTCAGCCTTACTGAGACCAGACTGGGATTACTCAGGTGCATAACTGTTCAAAAGGACCACATGCCACTGAAATGCCACTAAATTTTTGAAGCCTTGTTTTTTGCTCATAGAAACAAGTATTCTCTACCTAGTATCTTAAAGTAGAAACAAATGCATGATCACAAGCAGCTATATTAGCTTTAGGTATTGCTATTTCTATTTAATATTAGTAGTCCGTATGAGTATTTTGAAAATAAGCTGCATTAAGGTTGCTGACTGGCAATCTGAACAGTCCATACTATGACTGGTGGGAAATTTCCAAGTGTTCCAACCCAGCTTTTGTAAGTATGGTTGACATCACCTATGGGACTGGCTGCTAGATGAACTCACCAAGAGGTGAAGCTCTCCTCACCTGCTGCCTGAAGAGCCCCTTTCATTCTCTGCTTTTATGTTAATCCCGTATGTTCTTAGCTAGTCATCCTGACTGCTCACAACATCAGGGTCTTACACAGAAGACCTAGAAAAGAAAGAGGGAAAAAACCCCAAAACCAGGCAGAACTGAAAACCATGCAAAGATCTCTCCTGTCATGTCAGAACAACTGATGGTACCACAGATTTGTATAATCATGGAATCATAAAATCATAGAATGCCCTGGATTGGAAAGGGACCTTAAAGATCATCTAGTTCCAACCCTCCTGCCATGGGCAGGAACACATTTGACTAGACCATGTTCCTCAGGACCTCATCCAACCTGGCCTTGAACAATCCAGGGGACATCTACAACCTGTCTGGGCAATCTGCTGCTGTTTCTTACCACCCTCAGAGTAGAGAGTTTCTCTCTAATATCTAGTCTGAATCTACTCTCTTTCAGTTTAATATCTTTACTCCTTGTTCTATTACTCCATGGACTTGTAAAAAATTCTCAACCTTCTTGAAGGTCCCCTTTAGGTACTGGAAGGTGCTGTACGGTCTCCCCAGAGCCTTTTTTTTCTCCAGGCTGAACAACCACAGCTCTCTGAGTCTGTCTTCACAGGAGATGTGCTCCAGCCCTTTGCTTATTTTCATGGCCTCCTCTGGACTCACTAAAGCAGGTCAATGTCCTCACTTTTGGGACCCCTGGAGCTGGATGCAGCATTCCAGGTAGGGTCTCACCAGAGCAGAGCTGAGGGGCAGAATTCACTCCCTTTACCTGCTGGCCACGCTGCTTTTGATGCAGCTCACAATAGGTTTGGCTTTCTGGGCTGTGAGTGCACGCTGCCAGGTTGTGCTGAGCTTCTTGTCAGCCAACACCCCAAAGTTCTACTCCTCAGGGCTGCTTTCAACCCCCTTTCCATTCTCTCTTTCCATTTTAGCATACATCTAACCTATTCCTATTAGCCACTGTAGGATTAGCAGAATATAAAGTTGCAGTATAAGCAACCAATAATTTGCAAATAATCCAAGCCACTTGTTGCTACTGAATATCTCTTAACATATTTATATGCTGTATAAAAATGTTAGATATCATTACTTGCATTCTTCAGTATGTCTGCATTCCTAAAATTATTTAGATTATATAGTGTTGTTCCACTGCAAAGTGGGAAGGAACAGTCCATAGTTCCTTCTGGGATCCACTCATCAGTTATTAGGTTATGGTAACATATGCTGCATAACAGAGGCCAAAGTACCTCATCCAGCAATTTACTCTGTCTGAGTTGGCACGGATTTTCAAGGAAGACCTAGTTCAGACTTTACCCCTCCCTATACAAGTGATTTTATCAATTAATTAACCTCAGCAGTCATAATTTGTGCTGTGCTTCCAGTGAGCATTTGCCTAATGTGTGTTTACATGCTCGGGAACACATGCCCTTTGTTTGCTCTTTACTTGGGCTCTTTCCCTAAATAAAAAACAACCTGCAGTCAAAAATCCTTTACAGCAGAGGAGCTCTAAAACAGATTGCAATTCACCTCACAACCTTCTTAATGGCATTTGCAACAAAAGCATGAAGAATTGCAGTTTGCTTTCTCAGAGCAACCTAAGGGAAAGCAGACACAGCTGGGGTGTGCAGGGCTGCCCTTAGCTGGAGCAACGGGGATGCACTGCCAGAAAAAACCCTAGAGATGCCACAAACTCCTAGGGCACCCTCTGGCCCAGAAACACGAATTTTGTACCAAAAACAAAACCAGAAGTCTGAGGTCCCTGTCTCATCTCTGCACAGGCTCCATACCTTGTCAAGAGGCGTACCTGGGTGCAGAAACTCAGAAATATTACAGCTGCTTAGGCATCCTCTTGGCCACTCAATCACATTCTTTTGGAGAGGAGATATTGCCCTACTTTGTGCTGGTTTGACTCAAGGAGTGCTCAGGGGTGCCCAAGCAGCCATACCACACCTTCTTCCAAAAGTTGCACAGAAGGAGAATTATTTTTTCCCTTGAGCCAAATATGACAAAAGTGTGGAAACTGTACTCTTTCATATATTCTTAATACTGATAAATACATTCTCACCTGCTATGTATGTATTCCATTTTTATGTAGAATAGTTGTGATAGCTTGGTACTGCCCAAAGTTTATTTGAGGGCAAGTTTGTGAAAGAAATGCTTTTTTTTCCTCTGGGTAAGGAGGAGCCCTAAAAATTTCAGCAGCCAAAAATTTCCAGAGATAAAGCATCTCATCTCATTTACCTAGAACCTAGTGCATCAATATTTTTAAAGCCCAGAACACAAAGCACACTGTATTCTGGACAAATTTCATGGCTCAGCTAACATATGTGTCCCCTACATTTTGTGCAGATCAAATGTATTTTTCAAAGGAAAAATGCCTTTTAAAAAGCTCCCCTTTCTATAATTTTAGGTGATTTGTGTGAAATTCTTTAACCTGATTCCCCTTTAGGTAATTTTAACAATGGAAAAGTGCACTCCTGTACTATTTACAGACATTTGGTCTGGATGAGAGAACAAAAAGTGCAATATAATTAGAGAGACATTGAGCCACACTATTTAATAGATGAAGACTCCTGACAACAAGGTAGAGTTATCCCTGAACCTTTTTGTTCACTAGGAGGTAGTATGTAAGCATGAAAATCAGATAAACATATCAGAAAACTATTATCCAGATCTTGGTAACAGTTGTACCATTGCCATTTCATGGTTCAAAGACTATTTTTGAATCAAGTGAAACATTCTCAGCCATCAAGACCTTTGCCTTCTTTATAAGAGATTTTAATAATGAAGTAAAATGATAATTTTCTGAGGTTTGGTTTATTTATTGTTTATTACTTTTCTTGTCCTGGAAAGGCAAATTAAATTAAAAAAAAAAAAAAAAGAGAAGAACTGTGGGAACGTAAAAATATGATACAAAAATAATTTAGTACTTTGCATGTTCAGAGTTGCATATGACCACTGATGAGTCATCCATGTTTTGGTATTGTGGTAAATTTGATTTAATCTTTCTAAAGCTATCCCTGATAAAAAGACATCTGCTTCTCTTCACTGCTCTGACATTTTGTCTTGAATATATCCATTCATGGTAGACATTTATAGTTTCATATTCCTGTAACAGTCATTGGGAATTCGAAGGAATGCCCTTGCATGCCCAAAAGGCAGGATTTAGTGAAAACTATGTGATGGACCAGAATTAGCCATTCACTTTAAGACCTTTGACTTCAGTGGGCTGAATTTGAAGCAAAGACTGATCTTTCCTAACTCCTTTCTATTTATGGCTATATCAAAGGCAGAATTTTTTAAAGCCATGTAGAAACAAAAGCAGAGGACTTTGCATAAGCTTTGAGCAGAGATGCACATGTAGAGGGGAAAAGTGAGCCTAAATATAGGGAAAAAGCAGCAACCATTAGAAAGGTGAACATCAACAAAGATATCTTTTCCCTGATCAGAGAGGTGACATCTCTCAGAGGTGAAAGTATGTGTCTAGGAGGTAAGACCTAAGAATAAGAGCTAACTTAGCATTAGCAGCAAAAGAAAGCTGTCAAAAAATCATTGTCATTTACAGGAATCTGTCTTTACTCCAAACAATTAAAATGGATTAGGTGAATCTTAAAAAAATTGACTGGGAGAAGAGGCCTTGTCGAGTAAGAAGATAATCATCATAGCATTGCATGAAGCATTCAAGACATTGAGTTACTGGTCCTTTTACTGAATTAAGATAAAAAATGAATCTTCCTGTAATCCTGATTTTGTTATCATCTTACTCATAGAATAATTTGAAGAATAATTCAGTGTCTTGAATGATGCAGTTTAGTACATAAAGACCTTATATTTTCTTCTGTTTAGAAGTTAATATGTGATAATTGATGGTTGTCATCCTTACACCTTGCTGTAGATGATAATGAGAAGCCACAAGTCCCTACCACTGATATTTGAATGTTAAAGCCATAGTATAAGAAATCACAACCAAAAATAAAAATTAGATTGCACTGGGCTACTGTCGGTACAGTTCTGAGGAGCAACCACATCTGTCACTGCTTTCTACTTTAATGACATCCAAATCTCCTCTTGAAACTCACTGAAAGGATGTTAGGAAAGGAGATTTAAAGTCTTATCCTAACCAAAAATATCAGTAAGACATTTTTGAGGCTCGAGGCTCAATTTGAGGGGGATACTATTGCCTTTGTTTCAAAGGAAAATACCTAGAGTCTAATCTTGCTTCCACTGAAGTAACAGACTTCATCATACAAACAGGGAGAGAGAAATTGACTTTGTTTAATAGCTGTGGTTTCAGTTCTTTGTGCTTCTGTTTCCTTAGAGACTTACATGCTTGTAGATGGGCATGCATTTTCTGATAAACACATCTCATTGTACTTCCTTTGCTTTCATAGGTTGAGGTTTAAAAAGAGTTCATGCATTCCTTCATCTTTTGTTTTCCTTCAAGCGCTAATGAAAAAGCAGGGCTGCTGCAGTATCATATGCAGGACAAAAACAATAAAACAATTATCTTATCATCATAGCCAATACATTTATTTAGGCAGGGTAACTGGTTCCTCACCTAAATAAATGTATTGGCTATGATTATAACAGATCAAAACAACGATACTGGGAAATAAATTGTACACTCAACTGCTACCAAATATTGATGTTGTTGTCACAAGTATTATTACACCATGCTCTTTTTCTTAATTTCTATATCTGTGGCAATTCTTATACAACGAACATTGCCAAACAAACATGATTATCTCTCATGTTTTTAATATGCTGTGGTAAGATAACAAGGTTGATATCCTTGGTCTGGTGGATTATGTCAAGAAGCTGCAGGATTTATCTTTACAGCATGTCTGTATAAAGCTTTTATTGGATCATCTCAAAATCTCAAATGAATTTAACCTCCCAGAGCCTCTATGAAATAGAAAACTCTTATAATTATCACTTTATGTATTTGGAAGTAAGCATCATAAGCAAGACCAAAAGCAAGAGAAAACATAAAACCAAGATTATGAAAGCTACTAAAATACACCTGCACTCAAGAGCACATAAATTAATTTTAGATGCTTAAGTCTTCCTCAGATCACAGACCCCGGTAACTACAGCACCCCTTTGACTCAAAGCAGAGGGTGAGCCACCAGCAAACCCAGGAGTGATTCATAGTCATCAAACTATCCTTTTGGGAAATGCTGTAGATCTGATGAAGATCTTTTTACCTTGTTGAAATTAGTTCTGTCTAATAATTGCCAAAGAGCACCTGCTCTACGGCATGGCAGCCATGTTACTGCAGGATAGTGGGAATTGGCACTTGCTCAGAGGGTGGAATTGTTCTGAAGGAGACCTTTTCTTTAGACCTTTCTTTCATTAATAACCCTGAGAAGGTCACACTGTGGAAGTTCATTCTGATATCCTGTTCATTGGGTAGCAATCTCAGATTTAGGCAATTGTTTAAAAGGGTGCAGAATAGGGAAATAAATCAACATTGGTGTCAGTTTGTTTTATTTCAATAATGGTCACCATGGAAACAAAGTCACTGACCTATTTCTTTTCATACATACAAGTAAACACCAGGGTTTCCAATTTTCATACACACCATCTTTCATGCCAACAATTTACCTTACAGAATTCCCATAACATACTATCTTATTGAAACTCCCAGTTTTTCCCTAAGGGGCTTTTTTACTTTTTGCCAATTTCCTTCACCAGGAAGGCAATGAAAACTTAGTATTGTCATGATGATTCCAGACCTCTTCTAGTTTCACTACACCTACACTTGCACATAGGTGCAGTGACTGTAAACCAGCAATCTAATAGCTGTAGGATTAGATGTGCTTCAGCAGTCATGTCTGACTCATCAGATTAATTTCAGATTACTTCATTCTGCATCTTTTGAAAATACTGGTCAGTGTTACTACACAAGAACATATTTCTAATGAAAAGATACTTGCCATTGTATGAACATCATATGCTTCCAGTGCAGGAGGACTCTCCTCTTACCTCCCCATCATGGCACTCTTTAAATAAATTATTACTGCTGACCTGGCTTGTGCCATACTGTTCAGAACCTGTGGATTCATTCTTGGCTTGCTGTATTTGCATAATTCACGTTGATTTATTTGCACTTAGATAAGCTGTAGGTGTCAAGAGCCCACAATATTAACCAGCTGACACCCAAAGTGAGTGTGTGCATGTAAGAACAACGTGTGCCTACTTGCATAAGGAAGAAGACAATGGAGTTTGCAAGGAATGCTGCAAAACCATCAGGCTGAAGTGCCACTTCTCCTTTTATTGTTGAGCACACAATAACACCCTCTACCTAAACTTCTTAAGCAGTTACTGCGTATGTTGTGTGCGTGCAATGCGCTGTGGCCTCAAGGATAATCACCCACATGTGTGCGAAGAGAGAGACAGATCATATGGAAATGCTGAAAACTAAAACAATATGATACTTGCTACATTATGGCCTCTGAAACTGTGCCCCGTGCTTGTCTCATCTCAGTAACAGTTAAATAATCTAGCACATTAGCTGCACATTCTAGGCTAAATGCACTGCTAGAGTAACTCCAGAGATGTAATGAATATACTTTCTTCTCCTTTAAGCAATTTAAATCCATGTAACACCATTGAATTTGATGGCATTACTCCAAGACTAAATAGATATAACTATGAACAGAATTATCTGACTGAACCAAGCTGTTCAGAAAGAAATCAAAGACGTGCCAAAGAGCCAGTGCCTTTCATTTTATATTTCTGTGACAAGCCTGACTGCTGTATCTTTCACAGGCGTTTTAGGTTTAACTTAAAGGCATATGAAAATAGTTGTTTTAAGTCAAGTTCATCTACATCACTGTTCATAGCAGTCAATATGTGCATTTTACCTGACATGGGAATTGAGTGTTGTCTAGGTAACTTTACAGAAAAATTTGTTGGAATTTTTTTTTTCTTGGCTGCTATTATTTCTGCAATCTATTGGGCAAATGTGGTTACAATTTCCTAAGTCCCATTGCCCAAATTTCCTTAAACTGCTTCATAAACAGAATTTAAACATGCCTTAGCTAGCACTTGTGATAGATGAAACTTTTCCTCTACTACACTTCCAAAACTTCTGTTCCAGCTGAGGGCACCGACCTTGCAAATAGATAAAGCATGTTTTGTTTCAGTGCTCTGTATCTATCTCAGTGGCCTGCAATCTTTCAAATTTTTCTTCCCCCCTCCTCCTCTTGGGTCCTGCCATTTCCCACTGATGAGAGGGACACAGAAGTTTCCTTATTGGATAACTTAGGGCGAGTCCAAGCGCTGCTGTCCACTGAAGAGAGATTTCTGAAGTGACGTCGGACAGTTTTTACAACAGCAGCCTGAGGAGCCTGAGCTCAGCAATCAACAGCCTGGGGAATTGAACAGGAAGAGGAAAAACAATAAGAAAAAAACCCCAACAACAACTGCTTGAGCAATTGTTACATGATACATTAATACATTAAGATGATTAAGGTATTAATATCATCTTAACACATTCAGATTATTTTTGTTATCTCAAATATAAATATAAAGTCAGGAGACTTTTATCTTCATTTTCCTTTTAATATTGGCAGAAGCTCAGAACACTTATTGATTTTATTTTTCAAATTGAAAATATTTTTTAAAGGTTATCTGATATTTTTATCTTTCAGTTTGTCAGGGATGCAGTATGTTGTGGGGACATAAGGGATGGTGTGTCTTCAGTGCCAAGCAGAGATTAGCTCTAGTGTGTTGGCTGCCCTGGGTCCCCACATAGACTGAAAATCCATTGAGAATACAAAAACAGTGCCCTTTTACTTCGTACCATCAGTTCTTTACATATTTAGAGGGTTATTGTTTATTGTTTATTCTGTACTTCGTTTATTTCAATAACAAAAATTAATTCATACTACATGAGGATTCCATCATCCACTGATACTCCCAGATTAACAGAATCAGTGGTGCTGGTTTCATATTGAGTTTTCCAAAGTAAAAGAACCCTAAAAAGTTCAGTTTTCCAGGAGACTGCACAGGGAACCCAGAGTATTCTACAGCCTGCCTCAGAGAAGAGTGAAATTTAAACTGTTAGCAAGGAGTTAGCAAGTTTCAGAAAGAGTTTTTATTTTTTTGTCAGATGGAGTTTGGAAATGGATGTTAAAGAAAATGAAATTTAAACAGGATAAAATAGTCTTTCTCTAATCATTAGACTAAACTTGATACAGTAACCACCCACATAAACACAGAATCTTGAACATTAAAAAATCTTAAATATAGGCATTGTTGAGGGAAGTAATTTCAGAGACAGTGAAAGAAAAGTCCAGGTTAGAGAGAGAGTATGCATAGCAATAATATCTCTTTAGAAATATACTCTCCTTCTGGTTTTGGCCACACTCCAAAAGTCTATTCTGAGACATCCCAAACAATGGAGACCTTATAACGAGAACCTGTGCAACAGTGTCCTGCATCGTGCTGATGATTTATGAAAGAGTGGTTTGTCTCAGCTCTAATCATTCCAAGTACATAAAGTTAATGGTCTCAAAAGACAAGCAAATTCTTCCTGCACACAGCAAACACATTGCAGAAATCCACTTAGATGGTACTGACTTTCCACTAATTTTCTCTGCATTTTTCCTGAGGAACAAGCAGTCAGCCGGGTACTCCCTCGTATAAGTCCAGATCTTGGAATTGTTGATTCCTACAGGCAGATTCCTCATACCATGCTTAAGCTGCTTAAAAGGAAACAGTCAGATTTTCAAAACTGTGAGAAATGTGCAGTTACCCTGCACATATTGAGGAGATTTGCAGCTTCTGGGCAAGCCAGGTACCTCCTCCTTGGGCATCTAACTACGGCAGAGCTCTGGCTGCTCAAACTCAAAAATCTTTGCATCAGTGTGGAGCTAAAGGATTTTGTAGTGCTTGAAGGTTTTTTGACTTGATTAAGGATTTTTTATATTAAAATTATCAAGAGGATGCATTTCATGCAAAGACTTTTTACCCTCTTTCTCCCTAAATTTCGAGCTATGCTGGTGTGAGCGCCCATATGTGTGCCAAAGGGATTTAACCCAGCCAAGGTTGAGTGGCAGGAGCCTGTGTTGGTGGTTTGGGGGTGGCAGAGGGGATTGAGTAGTTGCAACAGGGACACAAATCACTGACAGAGCACTGTCACTAGATGATTTAGTGATGTTCCACCTCCACTTCCCTGGGCGGAGACTTTCACAAATCCTGTGACATAACTGTATTTTATTTGTGTGTTTGGAGATCTAGAATTAATATTTATTATTCAATCAGCTGGATGTAAATGAAAGAACTGGTCAGATAAAACCAGCGTGTAGGTGGACTGTGATCCACCCTAAGGAAAAGCCTGTTTCCTTCTAATAAGGGCTCTCCAGCACCTTGTCTGCAGTGAACCTGCCCCTGCCTTCTCCCACCTTTACACTCATCCCCATGTACAGGGGGCATGGCCCAAATGGTAGTTAGAGACAATCTGCAGATCTTGAGATAGGGAACATGAAGAAAAACCATGAAGCAAAGTTTTTATTAAACTGGGAATTTGGTGGCAAGGACAGAAGAATCTTGACTTCAGAGAATTAACAGATGCCCTCTGCTGAAGCTCATCCACCAGTCAGTGTGGATGCCTGACATTGTCATCTGTTGTTCCCGAGTCATTGTTTACTTACTTTTTGATGCCATTCTATAAAGTTTCTTCTCTTAGGAAATTTTTTGAGAAAAAAAAAGAAGTCCCCTTTCAGTTCTTGTTCAAAGATTCTCAGGTCTGTGGAAGAAATGGAAAGTGATTAAAAATATCAATTATTAATTGATAAAAAAGTGATAAATTAAGAGGATGACATCTACTGCTTACTACATAAAAGCAAATTCCATGTGCATAGGAATTATCATTATATCATTGCTAAATATTTAAAGTAGATATTGATCTACCTTTATGAATTGAAAGATATTTTTATTATATTTTTCCAGTATATTTAATAGACATAACCCAGAAAAACATTTAATATGTGAAACTATGCTTACATTATTTCAAGGACTGGTCCATATGATATAACTAACTTGTTTTAAAGACCAGTACAAAGACAAAGAGTTCATTCGCCTGTATATTTATTAATTCAATATGCAAAATTGCCTTTATTTGCATCCATGGATTTTATTCTCTGTTACATCTCCTTGACAGGAGAAAGCTGAATGGCATGTCAGTAGCAAATAAAAAGCATAAGGGTGATGAGGAGATGAGTCTGTTGTTTGACATATGCAAGTTGCAGTTTAGGACTTAAGAGAAACATATCTTCTCTTGTATGCTAAGGGATCGTATGGTGTTTTAAGAAGGGAATCTCTGGTTTTCTTCTGTCTCCTGCACATGTCCTGTGGGACAAGAAAGACAGATCAGAGCAGTGTCATGGGCTGCATTTCAGACTCATACCATTGACTTAAAACATCACATCAGTGCATGCTAAGCTCCACTACTGCTCTGTGACTGATTAGTATCATGTATTGACGAACCTTATCTTGTCACACTACTTGGCATGCATCCAAATCTTCGGGTGCACAAAGTAAACAATGAAATTTTCAATGTAATTTGATGATTTCTGGTGTAAATTGTGGAAAGTTCAAATCATTTGGGCGTGGAGGGTAGTCCTAGCTACAAAGAACTTATTTGGTGGCTTTATAATGCCCTCCGAGAAGAGGCAAATACAATTTACAGGGAGTTTCCATACGATGGGCCTGCAGTTTCTACTGTTCCCAGGAGATGGCATACATCTTTTGGAAAAATGTCTGCTCACTTCCTAAAGGAGCAGTGAGGTGTAGTAGGAAATACTTTAATGCACCATTCAGTCCTGCGATTTCCACTTGAAAAATTGGAAGTCAGTTGGCAAACTCTTTGGGATTTAGGAGAGATGGAATGGGGATTGCCATCCACAGAGGAGAGTTTGCATGAATAGCTCAGCAGGAGGAGGGTGAAGAATCCCCACCCAGCAACTGCATTTTCTTTGTGGCATAATATATGTAAGGCCATAATACAATGCCTTCCCACTTTCATCTTTCTATATTGCCACTCATCAGCATTACAAAGAATGTAGCTATTAAAAGAACTGCCTCTTGGCACCCAAAAGCCATAGCACTGTATTTTCTACAACAAAAAACTTGAGCCTCTATTATTTGTTTTGCTACATTTGCAGCAGTCTCCCCATTAAGCTTGCCTCTCACAGCTCCCTGATCTCACTCCCCCTTGGACCTAGATCAGACACACAAGAGGTCAGGCTGACTTTCAAACTTTCTTGCGGCCTGGCAAGCACAGAAAAGTGTAACTGCAATAAGGATTAAGAAGTTCTCAGATGGGCCTACCAATACAAAAAGTCTCTCCCTTCCCCAGCTCTGCCACCCTCCAAAACCCTTGGGGTAAACATCAGAGTCAGAATTATCAATAGAGCATTTATTAACCCCTGGTTGTTGGAGACAGCCTTTGCAAGCACTGGGGCCTGTCCTGAAACTTCTACAAAAACATTCTCTGGAACTTCAGTGAGATTTTTAAAAGTCTTGCAACTCCTGGATGGAGAAGAATTTCCATCAATTTCTTGTGGTAATCCCAAATCTTGGAAGTGCAATCTGAGGCAGTGAAGAAGAAGCCATCCGACATTGCTCCTTCTGCTGACACACCCATGTGTAGGTCTTTGTGGTAAATGGAAACCAGTGCATTGTGATTTGTGACACACTGCCTGCACGTTCAAATTTACATACACAAAACTAAAAATACCTTCACTAAAAGGGAAGCAATGTGACCGGCATCAAGGGCTACAAGAACCAAAACCTAATCTATCAGCAACCACCTGCTGACAGCCCAGACTCAGGTATCTGTAGTGGGGAAAGCAGTGCACGGGCTGAGGGAAGCTGCAGCCAGGAGGAAAAACAGAAATAGTTGAGAGTTGGTTGCCCAGGTACTGCAGCAACCAGCATCTCCACCACACATCACTCTGAGGGATTTGCTTGACTGCAGTCTGGGTCAGGTGTAAACTGATCACAGGGGCATGTGCGAGGTTTCAGAGGAAATTCCTGAGCACTGAACTCCTGATTCATCATGTCCAGACCATTATATTGTAGACAACATGCACACTAATTTCTGAGAATATATGGAGGGGGTACAAATTAAAGAGGGTTATAACTCTGATCAGTCTCTACCAGGGGTTGGATATGCTCTTCCTTTTGCCATGGGTGGCATGGTTGCACCTCCCCGTCGCTCCCAGGAGCACAGGAGCTGGAGCCATTCCCACAGTCACTCTACAAGTGCCCCTAAAGATGGTGTTTGTTACTGCTGTCATTTATGGTGACCAACTTTTAGCTAAGGCTTGGCTGTTCAGAGCCAGGCACACTTGCCCACCTCCCCCAGGAGTTCCTGTGGCTGTGAACAGAGTCTGTGGAGCCTGAACCTAAATGCAGTAAGACTCCAAGAAGCACCCAAACTGCCTTAATTCCCCTAGGCAGCAGGTCCCAAACCCAGAGTTCCCATGCCTGTGACAGTCCACTGTTGGATCACCCATCCTGTGGCAGGGATCCTGGCCCTTTCTGAGCCTTACCATCTGTCCTGCTTTAGGGACACCATCTCCCACCAGGTGGGCACTCTGATAAGTGCCTGGTGTGCTCAGGTGCCTGGTGTGCTCAGGTGCCTGTCAGAGATAATGCGGCCCCTCAAAGGCACACTGGGAGATCTTAACTTGACAGCAGGCTGCTCTCAGCCTGCCTTTTTCCCACTGAATTTGACACAGCAAAGTGGAGCCAGTTTCAGACCTTTGGGGGTCACAGCAGATTGGGATAAGCCTATGCCAGCTTCACTAAAGTAAAAGTAAATGAAACAGCTGGCAGCAGGTGAGTGGTGTGGTTTTAAAGTTCCTGGGGAATGCTTGAAATGCACTTATCTTGATGTTTGTGGATAGTTTTAGAAGAGCTCCCTGGATTTGCTGTAGTCAGCTGTTTGCTGATTCTAACAAATAAACATAAGAAACTGCTCTTCAAGAAATTAAAGGTTAAATTTGGATGCCTTCCACAGGAAATGGAAGTGTAAGGGTGAGTATGTGTTTTGAAATACGGATGTTACAATTCCCATTCTTGCTTGCAAAACAAACCCCAAAACCCATACTGTGTCACTTTAATGATTTATAAGCACGCCTTTTAAAAAAATCACTTATTCAGTCTCTCGTGATGCCTCTCTGGTACACATATGAGGCTCAGCAGCCTGCTTGCTTCTCATGCTGCAGAGATTATTGCTTTTACTCATGGCCAGACTGTGGCTGCCCAGGAGCAGGTGTGAGAGTGAGGGGGAGGTGAGGAAGCTCAAAGCCTTCATCTGCTCGGGCAGGTATTCACCAGGCAGCAATCCCCGCCTTGCCTCGTGCAGACAACATTTCAGGAAGAGCAGGCAAACCACACTTGTTGTGGTTCAAGTGGGGTAAACGCACTTCCCTCTGACACTGCCCACTGGGGCTGCCTTGGAGACAGCTGTGCTGCACTTTGAAATGTGCTGGTGAGCTGCTCCAAGCACTGGGGTGGTGTTCAGCAGAGAAAATCAGCTGGCTCCTAGCACTTTCTGACCCTCCCTCTATAGTCATAGGAAGAGAAATTCTGTTTCTGTTAATCTGACAGAGTATTTATATAGCCTGCTCCTCTGCTGAGTCCCTCTGACACCTGGCTCTTGAGTTCAGAAGGGCTGGACACCCAGGACTGCACAGGTGTTTCCAAGGTGCATCAGAGAGCCAAGAAAGTGCAGCTACAGAAATGCTGCTAGTGAGGACATGAGCACATTCAAATACAGACATGCACATGCAAGAGCAGAAGTGAAAGAAAAAGTTAAACCGAGATCGAGGTCATGGAGACGTGGAGTTATTAAAGCAACGACTACTCATTTAAAATTTACTCTGAACCATTCAGAAATGGAACAAATCAAAGGAAAGTGTTTCTCAGTTTTGTTTGACTAATGCAAAATCTAAACCATACTTAATATATCACTGGGTTTTGAAAACTTATCTGACGGCATGGTGTCTGCTTCTTCTGTGAGATTTACTGCTCTTCAGAGCTGAAATATGCCAAGGGGGACCTTTAGCTGGTTATGATAAATGGCTTCTCTCCACTGACTTCACTGAAGCTATGCTATATTGGTCTGATTTTTTAATATCTGACCTAAAGAGCTAAAAAACCTTTGAGGACACGGGCACTAAAACCTGTTTCTAAATGCAGATACTGGAATAGTTTTTCTAAGGACTAAGAAATATTAAAGGGTCAAAGTATGAAGTTTGCAAAATGTTTAGAATATTTCCAAAGATAGAAAGAGCTTCCCACCTCCCCCTGCCCTGAATGAAATTCTTCCCGTTGAAATGCAGGTATATTTTTCATGACTTATCCAGATTCCTTTTCTCAAGGAAGAAGTTGCTCAGTTTATAAGACTAAATGCTGGTTTTTCCCTTTAACATTCTGTGTGGAATCATGTTACAGAGAATTAGAAACTTTCAAAATCTTTGGAAATGGCCTCAGCCCTCTTAGGGTTGAAATGGCAACGATTAACATCATTATTTCAATGATTGCCACTTTATCCAATTGGTAGATACTCTGAAGATTTTCTTCCATCATAACCACAGCTGAACACCAAAAATGCTTTCTGCTGTAGGAACAATTATCTGAAGATCATTTTCATTTCTCCTTTTCACGTACAACTGTTTGCTCCATTCTCAGACCAATGTTTTTAAAAAAATGTTGGTAAAAGCAGAAATGAAAGAT